TAAGGCCAGAAAAAGTTGATAGAAAAGTGAGCCAAACGAATAGGTTAGGGCATCTTCAAAGCGGACCTTCAAATCTCCACTCTATGTTGGGACATTTTTGCCATCCAACAAAGACCTGTATATATCCGCTTAGCAGTTCAGACATACGGATTCGTATATCCTAGAAACAATTATGGGGGACTTTGCCACAGTCCGGATATCCACTTGATCAACGAAAAGTTCTCGCGTTGTCCTCCTCTCTTTTCACTCTCTTCGCATGCATGATCTCCCTCTCATCTCTCTCCCCTCAACAAAACATCATACCACAAATCCCACTACATGCATGGTGCCCCTCTACTCTCTCCTCCCAACCTGACTAATTTGTGAATAGCTTTGGATGGCTCACTCCGGCATCATGTCCGCGGACCAGGTACGGACATAAAAACGGACATATACCGGAGACGTTTGCGAGTTAGCTTTAAAGAACCTTAGGCTGCAAAATAGCCTTTCTTCAGTCAAGCACAGACTCAGTTTTTATTTTATTTTTCAGGGGGTTTTCTTTTGCGGGGGAGCACGAACTCAGTTCAATCCTCTTAACATGATGCGCATATACGGTTATCAGTGGCCGGGAGGAAAAAGGCTAGAACTGTTTGCAGCATGTTGTAACAAAACAAAACATTACCTGATTCGGAAACTTAATTAAGAACCCATGCCCATATACTTGATTTAGTTCGCTTGGAGGAATCTTTATGCTCTTGGATGAAAAGCATGCCCCGGTCAGCATCAAGACAGTGATAGGACATACATACATCTACAGGGCTCTCTTTCGCTTCTTCAAGAAAGGGATCTCCGAGATGTCTGTTTCGATCAGTTATGCGTCGGCCTATCTGAAAATAATGCCACAACAGGCAGAAAAGCCACTACACTACATGCGCTTTAAGACGTGGACTCAACTATGAGATTAATAGACATGGACGGAATGCAGAAAACAGAAGTCTTTTTCTGATTGTAAAATGAGCGTTGAAATGGAACACACTTCATCCAGCTGACAAATATCGTTTGGTACTGAAAATTCGCAGGGCTGGCTTAGATGAACTCTGGAGGATTTATTTATGTTCGGAGGAGGCCCGTGCTTGCAGCACCGCAGCAGCTGTATCCACTGCATTTCAGCGGATCATATCGCAACTCAAACGCCCACTTCAGCCGGGGCATAATTCTGCATTCGGGGGCAGCTACATATATATCCTAATAAGTCGAAATGAAGCTAAGAATCTGGAGTATATCGCGGATGTTCCTTCCAATGTTTTCACCTTCGAATTTTCCCAATGGCAAATGCTTCAGGGAGCCATGCCATGCCATGCCACACTGCCACTGCCACGTAAAAAGTGCAGCAGAATTTTCCGTCCAAAGAAAGCGAGGAGAGGCCTACAACATGTCGTCGACCCTTGCTCCACAGCACGGCGGTGCACGGCCACCAGCCAGCGCAGCTCAGCCCAGCGCCGGCGCCTGCTTGAACGCGACGGTGGGCGCGATCCGGGAGCCCCTGCCGCGGTGCTCAGCGACGAGCTCGGCGGCGAACCACTCCAGCTTCTCCGCGTTGGTCTGCTCCCCGATCCGCCTCCCCTCGAAGAGCACCGACTCCACGTTGCGCTGCTTCATCGCCTCGTCCGCCGCCGCGAGCAGCGCCTGCACGTTCGCCTGCGTCGGGTCGTACTCCCCGTCCGGCCCGCACGGCGGCATGCTCTCCCGCTTCGCCTGATCACGCCAGAGTTAATTAACATCCAAGGAAACGGCCGTGCAACATGCCATAAATGGCGGGCGGGCCGAGAATTTGCTATGCTTGCTCACCTGAATGCGCAGGTAATTGGACGAGTGGCATTGCCCGAAGGCGCGTGCAACGGCGTGGTCCACCAGGTCGGCGGCGCCATCGGCCGCGATGCGGGCGATGGGGCGGGCCCACTCCTTGGGGCCCCACCGGCGCATGCGCGTGATGTCGGCGTCCGCGGTGGCCCCGGAGCCGCCCGCGCCGGAGCAGCCGCCGATGGAGAGCACGAGGAGGTCCTCGACGCCGCGCACGAACGGGAACTCGTGCTTGTTGTGCAGCACGTGCGTGATGGCCGCGGCGGCCGGGCTGCCCATGGTCGGCCCGCCGTCCACCGCGGCGCAGGAGGTCACGCCGTCCACCGACGCCACCTCGGCCGGCTCGAAGCGGCCGGGCTCCGACCAGGCCGCGCGGCCGACGTCGGAGAGGCGGAAGTCGTAGCTCCCGCTCTCCAGGGCGTCGGCGCGCGAGAACAGCAGCGGCGCGGACGACCTGAGGTCATAGCAGGAGATGAGCACGGGCTTGATGGTGTCCCGCAGGGTGAGCTCCTCGCCGAACGCGGCCTTCATGGCGACGCTGAGCGCCGCCGTGGGCGCGGCGAGCGGGCGCTTCTTGGCGCGGCAGAAGAGGGAGGTGGAGCCAGCGGGCCTGCGGAAGAGCCTGGGCGCGTGGTCCGCCACAAGGCGCCAGGTGTCCTCGGCGCGGAACAGCGGGGCGCCGCGCGAGTGCGTGGAGAAGAGCATCGCGGCGAAGACGCCGCCCGCGCCCGTGCCGGCGGCGAGGTCGAAGAAGTCGGCGACGCGCGCGTCGGGGCTCCCGGAGGCGCGCTGGAGCGCGGCCTCGAGGTGCGCGAGCGCGCGGCCGGCGAGCAGCGCCCTGAGCCCGCCGCCGCCGCCATCAACGCAGAGCACGCACACCTTCCCGCGCTGCGCCGCCTTCCCCGTGGCCGCCATGGCCGCCTGCGACGCCTGCGCCGGCGGTGGCGGCGGCGGCTTGGGCAGCCAGAGCTGGTGCGGGTCGGTGTAGCCGAAGAGGAACTTGCTCTCGAGGATGGAGAAAATCTCGTAGTTGAGCTTGTCGGCGTCGGCGCCCCCGTGCTCCGCGTCCTCGTGCACCCGCTCCACCTGCATCTCCTCGGCCTCCTCCATGCCGGTCAACAAATTCCCGGCGGAATCCCTCCCCTACGCGGAAAGGCAAACAAAAACAGGATCTCGCGAGGATTCGCAAGGATTGCGCCAAAGACCAGCCCGGCTGCTGGCTTTAATTCTTGTCTCTCGCTCTCTCTCTCTCTCTCTCTCTCTCTTTCGGTGTCGCCGCGGTCGGTCTACGGCGCCACGCTCGCTCGCTGGTGGCGCCTTTTGATTCTTGCGCGCTGCAGAGCACGCGAAGAAAGGAAGGAGCCCAAAGAGAAAGGCACGCGAGTTATAGAGAGAGCCGAGAGAGACCAAGCTAACGGAGGCGAGAAGAGGAGGCGGAGGTCGTCGTCTTGTCTCTCTTCACCCTCGGCTGCACCGTAACCGATGGACACAACGCTCCTGCCGGGCCACTGGCTGGGCGCGCCTCACCTGGTCCACCGGCGTGGGGCTGCCTGCGCCGTCCATTCCACCTCAAGATTGGCGATGCTGGCTGGCGCATGTGGACCGGGTGCACTCATGCTGGTGCGGGGGCGCGGTCGTCAAACTGGCTGTGGCTGGGTTCCAGGGTTGAATAAACAAACGGACAAATGAGTACAGACGTGCTACTGCTTCTAGTCCTACTCATTAATTAAGCAGCGAACGAGGGGCGGAAAAAGCGAAGGAGGAAGCGATTATATTAATAAAACACTCATAAAAAAATGGTTTCGAGGGCAGCGTAATGGGGGACTAATCATGATTGCGGGGCTGGGTTAACGCCTCAGGACGTGGTCGCCTAGACCCGGTCCATGGCTGCGTGGCATGCAACGGGAGTGGAGGTGGAGCGCGACCAGACAGGGGCGCAGCACTCGACCGCGCCCGCACTTTGCTGTGTCGTGCAGGCAGCGGTACATCTACAACGTACGCATTTCTTTTCCCTTTCCCTTTTAATTTCTTTGCTGAGAGCCTGTCGGAGGCGGCAGCAGCAGCAGTACTAGCAGCATTCTGCAAAGACATGTCAGTCAGTCAGCGTGTATGCTTTGCTCCAGTGCAATACTCCTACTGCTAGCTGTGGTTTTTTTCTTTTATCCTTTTCTTTTTACTGCCTCCTGGAAAGGCTGCTGCGAGGTGGGAAATAGACCTACATGCCTGCATGCCGGGCAAGTTGAGGTGCTTACCGCAAGAAAACTGCGTGTGTCGCGTACGGTTCGTAGGAGGTGGGGAAAACGAACTGCATGCACGTGACGGTGCACAAGACTGGGTCTACCCGGCGCCGCGCAGTCCAGACAAATAAGAAAAGGCGGTAGGATGGTGTCGTCGAACTACAGGGCCGAGTTGAGTTGAGGGGCGCACGGCCCGTGAGCGCCCAAAACCTTTGATTAGGGCAGGCAACGGGCCTCTATCCTATGCGCCGGGCCCACCGGGCGGCGGTCAAAGGCAAGAGAGCACTAGTGGTAGGGGTACAAGCCTAGGCAGGAGGAGAATGGCGTGGCCGGTGGCCTCGACCGCACGGACATTCTAGCGCTAGCGCAGCAGGTGGATGAACAGAGCAGATCAGAACAGAGCATTTCCTACTCCGTTCGAGGACGAGAGATGGGTGGTGTGAGCCGTCTCGGCCACGCCTCTTTGGGTCGTCAGCCAGCGCTGTGCTGGTGGCGTGCGTGGCTCCTGAGTCCTGACTGCACCGGCTCGGCTCACGTGTGCCACGACCGACCATTGGGAACGGGAGAATCCACACGCTCCCAATGCCGTTGGTCGTTGGTCATCTTCGTCGCCGCCGCCTCCTTGGCTCCTGCCCGCCTGGTCAATGGGCTATGGACAGACAAAATCATCACCATTCTCTCTGGCTGGAAAACATCAGTTATTATTACTACCACTTGGCTGAGTTTAGGGGACGTGCCGGACGTCCGGGATAGTCACGATTAGTATATACGGATTTGTTGATTCCAGTTAGACCGAAAGACACCGGCGTTGGGAGACTGCTGTATTTTGCCATTTCAGATGATTTCCCTTTTTCCTCTACAGATTACTTTTCCATGCACAATTACTGTATATACTTTTTTATATGCGCAATTACTAACTTGTTGTCAGACACAAAAAATGAACGCTAAAGATAACCGGTAATTCTTCCTTTTGCAAACTCCTAAACTCGTTGGGAAGCTTCATGAAACAATCTCCTAACTTTAGCAGCCATAAATTCCGCGTTTGCTCCCTTCTGTATAATCCAACTATAGCTGCCTTCACACGCGCATCCTTTTCATGTCCGGGGACTTGAACTTACGTCCGACTGTTGTTTCATGCCACAGACGAATTCTAAGTGCTGCATCGTAGAGTGATAGTACCTCGCTCGATAGATGATCATGTTCAACCGGTGCGCGCCGAGGCCCGGCAGAGGACGTCAGTGGCATGGAAGACGTATAATTTTTTGAATCCGGATCTCTTAGTGTTCTTCTTTGCTGAACGGAGCGGTACTAAAATGATGTGACTTCAGAACAATATTGACAAGCGATAGCCTCTTAGTATTATACTCGAAGGCACACTTATCTCTTATATTTCTTTTCAGTGACGAAACCATGATTAATATTTCTATTTTTTTTTTGCGGGGAAATAAAGACTATCGTACCGTCGTTCTTATTCATGTACAAAATTATCTTTGCTAACCTTGGACGAATGCAGCCATTGGATATGTTTTCATATTTGTTGTACATACAAGAGCAGCATTAGAAAGGACGTGCTCCATGGAGCCCATTTTTTGAAAACTAATAATCGAAACACATTTAGAAGTTTTAATAAATAATTCTACCAATACATATGCATGTTCTTCAAGTTTGTATAAAGTTTGATCAACTAATTCTATCATTTGCATGCTACACAAAAAAGACAAATACCTGGCCCAAATACAGCAAAGGAAAAGCCCATTTTAATCTATGTATCTGCAATTTTTTTTATACATCACATATGAGCATATGTGTTAAAAAAAATGGGGCCGAGGTTCGTCAAGTTTTATGCATGTATATGACAAATATATGTCTATGTATACTTTTCTTTCAGGTTTTTTTGAAGTGTGGAAATAGTAAAAAAAATCGACCGAAAATAAATAAACAAATAGCTCCATGGAGTTCGGCCGCTGCGTGCACTTTTCGTTGTACATACTCCTTATAGACTGGTGGCAGTACAACGGTACACAACTCAACCAACGCCTTTTGCAACTACACTGTTCACGTGCCACATCGTTATGCTTGGAAACCAAGCCAAAAAAGTAAACAAATACGAACGCGTACAGGGATGAACAGTGATCGTATCTTTGTATAATGGTGTCAGGTCACCGTCGGTACGCGACATATCAGTCGAGTCGTCGATCGATCGGTAGGCCGTACATGTCAATCCTTGCACATACACAGGCGTGTCTCTATATAGTCATGCTTCTTTCCAGGAGCGACCGACTAATTAACATGCCTGCACAGTGCATGTCGTGATTTTTCTATATTTCGGTGTATGGTAGATTGCCGAAACAGTGACACGCATGAGCGTGTACGTGTCGTGTCAATTCATCATGCGCTTGACGTTTAGATTAAGTTTTTTTTGGCGAAAAAAAATGCAGATCTTAGATTAAGTGCTTGTGGCTTCGCTACCTGAGTGAAGTATGTGAAAGCAACTGGATGCCATAGCAATCTCTGAAGACTTTCCGTTGTCAAAATCACACAGCACCGCGGTCAGTGAGTGGGAGTAGCCGAAGTACGTTGAGCTAGAGAGACAATATATAGAGATCACACGATGTGTTCCCTTCTATGCTACATAGGTTTACCCTGTGATTCCGGGCTTTGAACAGTATTGCTCCCTAGCTAGCCTAGCAAGGACAAACCGTTACCGCGCACATACGTCCATCTGCACCGACGATATACATGGACAGGACACGACTCACAAGACAAAGGCATGGTCGATCAGCGGTCACGTCCGGACGTGGCGCTAGCTGCCTCTTCCCTGCCCCGCTCCCGCTCCACGACGAGCGGGCCGGCGAGCGACGACGAAAACGTCAATGAGCTCGCTCGCTCGGCGGTCGGTCGGAGTACGTTGTTGTGTCGACCGTCGACGCACTCGAGTGCATGCGCGCGCGCGCGTACGTAGAGCGCGCGCCCGGTCTCGGCGGCGAACTGGCGGTGATGATGACGGCGCGGCACGGGGCCGCTCCCTGCGAGAAGTGGTGTTGGTCAGTAGGGGGCAGCGGAGGCTGTTCATCCCTGATTGCCGCTTTGCCAGGTGAGTGAGTGAGGCGCTATACATTATGGATACCCGCTCTTTCCCAGGAGTTGTTAGCGTGTACCGATCAGATCAGGTGGGTGACCGAAAGCAGGGGCTGGGAATAAGCGCGCGCTCCCGTCGCTTATTTTTTTTTTCACCCGCAAAAAAAAAGCGCGCGCTCCCGTCGCTGCGCTTGATCATTGCTTCTTTTTCTTCTTTTCCTTCTTTCCTCTCGGCGATCGTTCTGTTAACTGCGACAAACGCTTTTACCTGCGCTCTAGTCTCATGATAATCGATGGATGGCGATAGAACTGTGACTTCTTTTGCCGGAACACAACGTCCTCGGCCAGCAAAAGTACAATACTCCTACCATTGTTTGAGAACTCGACATCACTAATTAAAAGATACCCTTTGCAGACGTCATTGTCATCTTCTTCGGTGATGGCAAGTGATATACTGCATGTGCGACACTCATCATAAGTTGAGAGTTATATTTTGTTTTCGTGCATTCACCTTCTTGAAATGTTCTCTTGAACCTAGCAATAAATAAATAAATAAAAACCACAAACACCTAGCAAAAATCTTGCAACATCCAAAAGCTCAAAAAATAACCCAAAATGGGTGCATGGAAAAAACGCATTTCGCGG